ATTTTTGTAGTGGTTCCCAAAGTGAAAAGGAAAATGAAATAAACCAGTAGCACATTTGATTCATATGTCCTCATTATCTGTCGGGTGTAGCTCTGGTTGTCTACATTGACTGTAAAATCCTGGCACAGAGCTAGATAAAGAAAGAAGGAGGTAAAAACAGGATATATTTTTAAAAATAGAGGTGCACTGGGGATATCAGCAGAAAGAAAAAAACCAAAACAAACCAGTAAGACAAATCCCATCATATTATCCCCAGAGAAGAAATTAAATGGGTTCCTTTCATACCAGCTGTGGCTGAAATATCTTCAGTGAAGGACAGAAGTGTCCTTGGAAGCAGGACCCTTCCAGGGCAGTGCAGCCATGAGGACTGTCCCTCTGTCACATGCTAAGGATGAGTTAATGGAAGTGATGCCAAGGCTAAGACAGCTGCCGGTGCAAGTGCAGGAGCACCTCTTCACACCACAGCAATCTACAAATACAAGAACCAAGGGCTTGCCTGAGTTCTGGTAAGTAACCTTAACAAAAATTTTAGAAAATCACCAAGATTCTGACTAAACCAAAAAATGGCTCATTTGGGTAGTTTTATGAAAGCTATTAACAATATTTCTATGACAGTTGCCAAGTTATAAATGAAAATGTAGTTCAGAAGCAAAAGAATGCTTCTGTTTAGAAGAAGATGAAACCAAATATTGTTTAACATTTAAACAGACTCATTTTTTCCATAAAGAAAACAATCTTTTGGTGTTTATCCCAAATTCATAAATATCTCTAATTCTCCCTCATCTGAACAGTGGGATGATATCATTTGCCAAAAAAAAATTTATCTTGCTAAATCTTAAAATAACTAACATCCAAAAACATCAAACCAAATGGTCACTCAGACATGAAATACATCCAAAGATTTAACAAAGAACTAATACAGGAGTGTCCCAGTGCCTGGGAAAGAAAGCGGTCAGTGAACGGGCAGGATTCCTGCCAGACCCAAAGCACAAGCACCCAACAGTGAGCCTCACCAGGGAGCTAAGCAGCCTGGAAACTCCAGCCAGGAGGGGAAATCGGGAGGGAAATGAAGAGCTGCACATCTCCCATGACAGAGGGAAGACTCCCTGAGCTGCTGAAGCTGGCAGGGGGACACACTGATTTCTGTGCATTATCTGTTAGGAAAGCACTGCCCAGCGGAAAGTGTGGGAGGAAGATCTTGCCCCATGGCAGGAGGGATGTAGGCACCGTGATGTGGGGCTGGCTGCAGCGATCCCGGCCTCTAGGATGTGGCCCTTTGACACATTGAGGGTTGGTAGAAGGGGAAATCTACACTGGGAATTGCCACTGTCAGGAGAATTGTTTAGGTTGCCCTGCACATGGGTACAGGGATGCAGGAGTGGGTTGGGAACCTCAGGAGCACTAATTTTTTTCCAGTTTAACATTGCTCTGGAAATGTTTATCCTGGGGACTAAAACAAAGTGGTTTGGTTTTTTCCCCATGCTTCTGTTAGGAATTCCTCTGCATTTCCTATCCAAAAATAATAAGAGGTTACAGAGGATAAAACGTGAATGCTCTTTCTGCTCTGAGGCAGAGGTGGAGTGAGCTGACTGAGAGCTGGCAGGAGGTGTGAATTCCCCCAGGGCTTCCTCCCAGCACCTCCTTGACCAGACACTCCCAGCTGAACTTCCCACTTTTTGGAGGACAGGGTGGCCCAGGCAGGTGTTCCTTAGGTTGTCCCCGTGGGAAAATGAAGCTGCATCCAAGAGTTGGAGGGGTGATCTAGGCAGTCAGTTCCTGTGTGTACAGTTCTGGCAGCAATTCTGCACAGAATTCAAGGTTACAGTACTGAGCAAGGCACTATAAAGGCTTGCATGCAAGACCACTCAAACCCAGGAGATTATAAAATACTGTAATACTATAAAATAATCTCCTGGAAGCAAACTACAGGTTGATATGACTCTTTGGGTCTGGCAGCTGGACCAGCATTGAGGAATTGCACAATAAAATAGGTCACAGGTTTCCAAAAGACCATTTTTTTCCTTTAAGCTTATGAGAAAACGATGATTTATGGAAATCAGCTTGAAGCAAGGGAGTCATTCTGATAATAAAACCTCGAAAGAGTATGGAGGGCTCTGTCATTACAGTAATGGGCCCCAGATAAGTGCTTCATCAAGAAGACTATACATCACTACTACTTACAGTGCGCTGAAAAGATGGGGCAGGGCGAGAATGAATGGCATCTGCTACAAAAATAAACTAGAGCAGAAATGGTGCTCAGTGTTTTTATATTTTATATCACAAAATACTCCATTTTGGAATTCAGTTAAGCCAAATGTGCATTTTTCACCTCCTCTCATCACCTCAGAGTGCAACTAAAGTGCCAAGACCTGAGTGCACCCTGCAGGTCAAGCCTCCCGCTGCTGAGGTGGCCACCAGCCCCGGTCAGTGCCATGGCCATCCCTCAGGAGCGTGCCCAAGGCACCCAGCAGCTCCCTGCAGGGCTGGAGGTCCTGCTACCACGAGCTGCAGAGAGAAGCAATTTCCTGCCTCCTTTAAAAGCACTGAGGTGGCCAGAGAGATGCTGAAGAAAAGCAAACGCAGCCTTGCCTGGCACAGAAGCTGGTCCCTTGCCTTGTTTTTTCCCCCTCTGTCCATGCTTGCAGCTCAGCCATGCTGCAGGACAGGTCGAGAGGTAACAAACTGCTGCAGAGCTTTGCTTTGCTCAGGTGTTTTGTTAGATTTATGTAAAGGAAAACATAAATCCTTTTTCTTCTTTCTGCCTCAGATGCTGCAGGTTTTCCCCAGCAAGTGAAAAACCTTTCTCAACTTAATCATGGGAAGTTGCTCAGTCATGAAAGTGGAGGAGAAGTAGAGCCTGAACAGAGGGAAGGACATGCTGGGGAATGCAGGCTGCTGGGAAGCTCAGCTGAGAGGTAAAGGGGAGCAGCCCTCCCGGGACCTCTGACCATCCTGGGAGACAACCAGGACATGGGAAACCAATGGCTCCAGCCCTGCCTGAAACCCTGAGCACTTCTTGCTCAAGGGACAACAGTGATGTACTCAAATAAGTGGATAAAGACAAATGAAGCATGAGCTCAGGCTCTGGGCCAGAATGTTTCAGTGCTGCTTTCTAGTGCTTGCACTGGCCTGGCAGCAAGGGAAGGGGAAAGCCTGGAGTGACAATCCCAGTGGGTGTTCATTCTGTTAGCAGGTACCACATCAGCTAGGCACAGGTTCTCTTGCTAGGCTGCACACTCAGTTGTACGTACAACTCCTTCTGGTTTGTGGCTGTCTAAAATGCTTTTTACAAGTGGTCATCTTCACTAACAGCAAATTTTTATTCAGAATTTATGCAGTGCTTTTGCAACTTTCATCCAAAGTAAAATAAATGTTACAGCTGGTGCGTCTGTGGCTGAAGAGGGTGATAAAAAGAGGAATAAAGTATCTCTGAAATGAAATTTCCTTTCCAGCACATGCACTGGGTCCAACATAAAAGACACAACAGAAAGTTTAATTTAAAACTAATTTATTGGTGAAATGTTATCAGAAGCCCAATGAAGACAAATAAATCAACATGACACTGGGAAAAAGATCAGCTGGTGAGGATGAAAGCTACCAACATAACAATCCACAGATGGAGAAAGAGCTACACAAACTGGAGTTCATCAGCAAAGTCAGAATGAAATGCTCCCTCCACAACTTTGCAATCCAAAATTAAATCATTTGAGATTGAAATGCTGATGTGTGCAAATATTTATTCCTTTCATGAGAAGAAAACCCTGAATTTTTGACGATGAAACTCTCCCTTGGCTCAATGCTTTTCTTTCCACCCCCTCAACCCCCATCCCATTCTGTGAAAACACCAAGTTACAAGCAAGGAAGAGAGAAAAGAGAAGTGACACTTTTGGGGTATGTTGACTGAACTTCACTAATGCCAGGTTTATGTATTTCTTCTTATTACAGCACGGGAGACGGAAATTGGATGGATCCTTGGCTGCTCTAAATCAGAAGGCTGAGAATATTGTTTTGTTTTTCTGGAAGGAAGGTCTGGATGTATGAGAAGCACAAAGAAGAGGGTGACTGTTTTCTCTGACTCAAAGTTTGACCAGATATTGTCTCAAGAGAACAGATGTGTGATCTTTTACAAGTGTGCCTGAATCCATTGCCGATCTCTGCTTGAAACATCCAGCGAGGTCCTATATTTTGGGTGGCTGTTTTGCATTACAAGTTTTGCTCATTCTTTGTAGATGTTTCATTGGAGAAAAGTCAGAGTGTCCAAAAAAACAATTTACTCACTATTCTCTTTGGGACCAGAGGCATGAGATGCTGAACCTCTTTGAGGAGCCCCTGCTGTCCCAAAGTCTGCAGCCTACACTTGAGAGAAGGTTTTAATTTTGCATGAGACACAGTCACTTAGTGAAGCATTGCACAGCCTGCATTTTGAAGGATGCATTTTGTTTTAATGACCACAGAGTTATGAACAGCAGCTCCAAATCAACCCATGCATGATCAGACACAATTGTATTTCATCAATGATTTCACTCCGGTCTGAACCAGATCTCAAATCTGTCCTCATTTTCTTTCCCATACTGTAACAAATTATTCCTATTGACTAAACAGTGTGCCAAAACTCCTTATGCCCTGATTTATGTGAAAGAATTAGCACGATATTGTCTGGGTTTGAGGTCACTCAGCTTTTTTTCTTGTACTTCAGCATCTGCATTTATTCCTATTCTGCACAGAGGAATTAGCACAATTAGCACAGAGGAGAAGGAATCCAGCCATGAAGGACAGCCCCTAGGCTTCACTTCATCCAGTCTCTTCTTACACATTTTCTTGCCTTTCCAGAAAGGAAAACCCCTCTTGAAAATTGTCATGAATAAAATCTCTCAAGAAATCCACCCTGGTTAAAATACTGTGTTTAGTTATGTACAGTTAATGTTCTTGTCCCATTTGTAAACCTTGTTTGTTGTACCCCTTGTTTACTCCAATAGTTGTTAGTAATGTTAATTACTTACCAATTGTTGAAGTGTTTTAAGAGTTCTTGTAGGACAGACATACCTCTACCCCTTTCCCTTACTTCCCTGTTACTAAGGAACAAAGCTGCTCCCATGGGGGCTGTGCCACGATGTAACAAAGCAACTCCCAGGGGGCTGTGTGACCAAGCAGACTAAGGCATTCAAGACACCAAAACAATGAGTTAACAAAGGAATAAAAGGACAAAGAAACATATTCTAGCAAGCTATGATGAAAAATCATCATCCTGCATCACCTAAGCCTGCTTAGAAACCATCCTCCTGCATCACCATGACCTCAGAGGACTGGAAAGGACTGGCCCCCCCAAGACAATGAGCCAGAACAACAAGCCTCCTGGCTATTCTCATGAGGATGGAAACCTCAGTTCTCCAGTTCTGCAGCGTGTGCTGCAAAGCTGAATTGTGCCTCCTCCTTGGAGCTTCCAGTGTGGGAGCACCAGTGGTGCAAGCAATTCCTTGGGTCCCCACCCCAGGTCTGAGTCCCAATAAAGGCATAAAACATGAGTCTGTCTCCTGGCCAATTTATCTCAGAAATAACCAACAAACAAGCAAAAAGCAACAAAACTTCCCACTTGATACGTTGGTTCCAGAACAGCAAAAACATGCAAAAAGAATTCTGAAGAGCCCAAGACTTCCAATTAATGCAGAAGGACTTGTTTATTCTAAAAACAAACTGTCCTACCTTATCAAAAAAACAAAAGGAACTACAGAAAGGATTCTACTACCTATTTCTTGAAAAATTATTAAATCAGTCCTTAGGGGGAGTAACTGTCCAGGGCAGCTGTTCAGCCAGGGTAGATCAGCAGCTCCCTAATGTTGATTTGTGCCAACTGAACTATTTATGGAGCTCATTGAGCTCAGTGGTGAAAGAGGGGAAGTTGCCTTTGACAGGAGTATGAGATGAGAGAGATACAGATTGATAAGGGACAGAGTCCTTGAGGTTTCTTGGGGTTTATTTCTGGGTTTTTTTGATGAAGCATTTCTTCTCCAGATAGGTGGCATTGCTATTGCTCTGTTATAAGAGCTTATGATAAATTTTCAACAACAAACACTTCTCTAGGATAAAGAGAGTTAAATGGTGTTCTCTGCAAGACCTCCTCGGCCCTCTACCCTTTCTTTGTCACCATGCATCCTGTCTGATGGCCCTTGGGATCTCATGGCAAATCCTGCTTGTGCAGCTAGATTTACACATGGATTGCTGTTTGTGAATGAGGAAAAGCTAAAAAATGCTGCAATTAAAGTTCTGGTTTCAGCGTGGTGAGGTGCTTCTGGCAGGGAAATGAGTCTTGCCACATACGGTGAGATGTCTGTACCAGCTGCATCCTTTCAGGACACATTGAAGAGTTTCCTGGAGCCAGAGGAGTTAAGACTGACCTGGGAGACAGTCTGGATCTGCAGTAGGGCAGATTTCACTCCAGGAGAGAAATGGCACCCTTTGTAACTGGGATCCACCTCGTCAGGAGAAGATGGTGCTCATGTACATCCCAAAGAACAAGTGAAAGAGGCTTTTCTTCCAAATTCCTATTTTTGTAAGAATGCAGCCAGTAGCAAAAATAAGCCTGGGAAAAATTCTGGTTTTCTTCCCAAAACAAATAAATCTTAAAGCTAAGAGCTGTAATTTATCTAGATCTGGTTGTAGTTGGGTTTATTTCATGAAGTAAACAGCACCAGCCACCTTTCATTATAGTTCTAACACACCACCCTGCTGGAACAAAAAGTCTGACCAAAGCAATCTTTTGTCTGCTTCTTTTATAAACATGATTTTGCATCGATGTGAAAAGAAAAAAAATGTGCAAGATAAGCTAATGCCAGACTATGCTGCAAGTACTGAGCCTGAGTAGTTCCTGGAAGCTCAAGTTCACTGAAAATAGCAACAGGAAATATTTCATTTCAAGCTGCCAGCTTCAAAAGCTCTCCTTGTTATTAGAATCAATATCTTGATCAAATCTTTTCAGTAAAATTACTGCTTGGTTGTAAAAATGTTGTGTGCCTACTTCTGGATCTGAGAAATTATGTAACCTGAAGAAAGATTTGGTTTTTCAACTGCTCTGTACAAAACTCAGCCAAAGGGTGATGTTGAGGTGAGATGAGCAGGTGTGAGTCACAGCTATTAAACACACAAAGTTATTAGCTGTCCACATCTAGCCTCACCATCCTTGATTAAATTTCATTCTTACCTCTGGAGTAATTTCCAGACTTCACTGTCTGGTCATTGCTTTCCAAACTCACTTCAGTACTGAAGTGTCCCAGGAGCGTGGACAGGCTTTTCATCTCTTGTGATGGAAAATGTGGTGTAATTGCAAGCAATTAAGGAAAGACATTCTCCAAGTGGGGCTGAGGGGCTCATGTCCTGCTTTTAGACATTTATCTCCCAATTTTCACATCTTTTGCAACACCATCACTACAGATTGATGGATCACAGACAGCTTTGCTGGCTGCTTCCTCTATACTGGCACTTTCCCAAGGAGGAGCAGGTGGCACTTTTGATGTTACAATAATTCACAGTGAAAAAGAGAAGCCTGCAGATGGACCTGTCGAGGCACTAGTAAATTGCCTGCTAACAGATTCATATTCTCCAAGAATCACCTGTACACATGACTGACACAAGCTGGACACACTATGGTGGGAGGAGAGCTGCCCATTGTGTTTGTTCTCCTAATATGAAGCATGTTAGAGAACACATGCAGGGGCCCTAAGTCTCTAATTTCAGAGTTTTCCATTGTACTTTATGGGACAATCATTTTATTTCAAACAAAAAAGTGAGCATGAAGAGGATTTCATCTTCAGATGTTGCTGTGACAAAGATTAAATGCTGGTCTAAGTCTGCATTCTTCCGAGTAGATTAAAATGTACTCACACACTGTGAAGCCATGAAGTTCAACCCAGGAATCAGATCTTTTCCTCACAGACAGGATTTCTACACTGGTGTAATTTCATTTCATTGATCAACTGCAGTTCCATTCTGTGAAATGCAGATTTAAGGCAAACAAGGTCCTAGTTCTGAATGCCATATTTTGGGTGGGTCTTAATCTCCAAACGTTTTCTTGGGGCTTTCTTTAAACTCTCTTTCTTTAAGATCTCTTTGGCCATTCTGCCATCAGTAGAAAATTTATACACATATCCAAAAGCAAGATCTAGTCTTACTGGTTTTTAAAGACTGGGATAACAAAAGGAGTTCATTTTAAATCCTAGAGCCAGACTGAGAAAGAGCAGTCTTATCATGTTGCTTATGATAGCAAATCTCCATATGCACAAGGCTTAGATGAGGGACCAAAATTCTATTCTGTTTCTCTGACTCTCCAACAAAAATAAAGAATGGCAGAGAGCCATGCCCAGAGCCTGGCAGCTCTGCACTACTTTCTGTCATCAGAAGTCTCAAATGGCCCTACCATAACCTTTAAATGCTCTGCAAAAACCACCACGTAGTGCTCTGGAACGGCTATTCTAACTGGGAGAATAGGAAGGCAGTAACAGGAACAAATAATGGTTAATGTTACTACTAATGTAGTCAGGGATGCAAGACAATGGAAGCAAGAAATTCTCTCTTTCAGGACTTGCATCTACTCACAGAAAGCAGAAAAATGTGTTGTGCTCACAAGGTTGACCATATGATGCTTCACAGTCCTCCCATATATCTGTCATGGGAAAGCAGGGAAGACCATCTTTAATATTTAAAGGCCCAGAGGTGTCTTCCTCTGATCGCTTAATGCTGACCCATGGCGCAGCACCCAGAGACATCACTCACCCCTGCTCAGTGAGAATGAACCTGCTGTGAAGAAATCAGTGACTTTGGCTCCAGCAGGCAGTGGGAAATTGTGGAGTATAGGTAGGTCCTAACACTGGCAGACAATGTCTGCTCAATACAATCAGCATGAGAAGCTGTGTCTCATATCCTGTCCAATACCTCCCTGGATTCTGTGCCTGGATTCTTCTGGATAGCCCAGGAGGGCACTCTCCCTCCCCTCAAGGCACAGGAAGACCTCACATTCCCTGATTATCATTACCCACATTGCCCAGTTTGTCTGTGTGTGCTCTGCTTTCACTGCCACTGCAGCAGACTGAGCTTCCGCAGAGCCCACACAAGTGATGCCAATTTGTCACTGTCACTGGTACCCTACCACCTACTCCCTTCAGGCTTTCTTCATCTGTCCCTGGTGACTTACTGCACCAGAGCATCTCAGGAGGCCTTATGACTTCTTTCCCTGAGATTCTTTTAAGGTCACAACATCCTAAAAAAACAGAGGAGAAGGATTTTCCCTTTGATTGTGAGACAATTCCATCACTGACCCAGCTCATTTTTATCTCACAGGCATTAGGTCTAGGACTGTCCAGGATCAGTGATGTGGGGAAAGGTACCAAAGTGACAGAAAGCTCTGCCTCATCTGCAGATGAGCCACTTGCAGAGCTTGGCCATTTCAGCGGGTAGGATTGGAAAAGTGACCCCACAGATGTGCACCATCCAAGCGCAGCACCAGGCGACCAGTCTCTAACTGGTCGCCTCAGACTGTCCTTTTAACCTTGTCACTGGCCTGGGCCACTGGGGATCCTGTGCTCAGAGAATTGAGTGGGGTGTTTTCCTGCCTGACAATAAAATCTATTCTAATTATAATTCCCTGCACATATACTCTCTGAAGGACGGGAAAAAGCTTCTGCCGCTTGAGGTCGGGTCTGAAAAATTAGCTGGTGGGCTCTGGGAACACCTGCTGCAGGAGGCTTTCACAAGAGCAGAGATGGCAGGAAGATTGATGATGACCTTGCAGCACACACCTAGAGGAGGCACCTAAGGATAAACCCGTGGCCGGGCTCTGGAGCTTGCAGAATGTGCAGCAAGTTCAGCACCGTGTCTCCAGCCAGCCTTGGTGGTGTACAAAAAGGCAACAGTCCCCTGGCTCCATGGGAGGAATCATCAGGATGGACCTCCACAGAGCTCTGCACAACCAAAACCACTGCAGGGACAGGTCCCAACCCCCAGTGCTGCGGCTCCTTCTCCCTCTTGCTGCTTCAGGGTGTCCCAAAGGAACAGCTCTTTTTTCTAGCCCACACTGAAAGACTTTTAAACTCAGAAATTTTCATTTTCCTTTTAAAATTCTAATGGGAAATACAGAGGTTGCATTCATATTATGTTCTAAACCATTACAATGCCCCCTAAATTTTGGGTTTTTTAAAAAAATCATTTTTACTTAGACAAATTTCTATTTTGGAACATATAGAATAGAAAAAATAGTGGAAATTAAATTAAGGCCTCAAAGTATTATTTATTTAATTGCAATTAATGTTAAAGAAATTAAAGAACAGGAAAAAAAATGAATTTTGAAATATAAAAATATTTTTAATCTCTTAAAAATAAGAGATAAAACTACATCTAGTATGATGTAGATTTACATCAAACTCAAGATATTGTCAGCAGATTGGAAAAAATATTTAAGAAATTTTGAGAATGAAAAAAGTCGTAAGTTTACAATTTCTGTTACTACTCAGATATGTATCT